CCTGTAATTGAACCATAATCATTGTTATTAAATAAACCATAAACATACGTAAAAGAAATTCTAAACAAAAAATATTTTTAGCAAATATTTTTGGAAGCATAACTGAATAATTTTATTATAGTGTACAGTTTGCATATTTCGTACATAATTAAAATTAAAATAATATATTTGTATATTTGTATATAAAATTCTTTAAAAAATTTACATTATAATCCACATATATTGTTTGTATTCCTTGGCTTTCATTTTTTGCTGATTGACTAAGGTAAGTCTATCTTGTTCTATGATATATTCTGTATTATTTTTATATAAATCAGAGTAAAGTATATGAATATAATCGTTAACTCGCTGAAATCTAGAACCTGTGTATCTAAAATTAGAAAGACATTTAGTAATTAAAGGCATAGATTAAAATTATAAGTTATGATAATAATTAATAAAAATTGTATCAAGTTATATTAATTGTATTAAATATTTTAACATATTTTTCATATATTCAACACAAAATAATATATATTTTATTAATTTTCCATTTAGGCTATTTTATAAAACACTCTTAAAAGTAAAAATATAAACTGACAAACTTTTATTTCAAACTAATATAAAGTTTTTAAAATAATTTAAAATATTTAAAGTTTTTCAGGTTTGAAGTATTTTGATGCTTATTTTTTTATAGGAAATAATTTTATAAAATATATATCATGTACATATATGTACTAACCCTAAAATAGTTCCCCATATCAAACCATTAAGAGTATTAACATGGAGCAAATGATTTCCTACAAATGGAACAAAGATACGAGTGATGCTGAAATATTCGTAGTTTAACCAAAAACTATCAAACATGTTTAAAAGAAGTGATAATAAAATCCATCCTATTATTGTTCGAATTATCCAATTATGTAATCGTTGGTATTCTTTTGGCATTCCCAGTATTTCCAATGTATCATCCACTATAGACAGTTTATGTAAACACATTTTTAATTCCTTAAAAACAATATTAATTGATTACATGTTGTAAAGAAAAAAATTATTAAAATTTATATACGTTTTAAATTACGTATTAGAATATCACAGAAAGTATTGCATTATAAAAATTTAATTTAGCATTTGAGATGTAAGATTAGAGATTAATTTAAGAAAACAATAAAAATAATATAAGCTAATTCAAGAAAAAAATAAAAATATTAATCCATCAAGCATTTTGTTCATAATAAACAACAATAACGCAAACATTACAATCTTTTAAAGTTTTTTTATAAATTTGTATTCTATAATGTGAAAAGTCAAGACTAATTTTCTGAATTCAAAGAACTGAAATGAATACAAATTAGATATTTAAAAAATTATGAAAGCTCAGGAATTTAATATATATTTAAAAACTCTTACCTTGAAACGAAACAAGCTAATAAGCATTGATATAATCGCTGTGATCATTATTATCACACTAGGCCAGGACATGAATAGAAATAGAGTATAACTAGTATAAACTAAATAGTAAAAAATATATACAAAAAAGCTCCATGTGATTAAGAAATACAGACAAGTAATATATGGTCTAGGTTGTCCAAGAGGATATTCGAAATAAACCTGCAGAACGAACCGATGATCAATAATGGTGCCAGTACTATTTGTATCGTTGTCATAGTTTTCGAATTACCAATATAAAATATAAATTCGAATTACATCTTGTACGAAACATGAATATATTTCAATACACTTCACGAGAAGAAATAATTTTACTTTCTCTTCGTTGATCCTCAAAAACTTTGCGGAAAATATGTAGGATACCATTTGACTAGCAAGTATTGAGCGACAGAAAATATGTAGGATACAGAATAACCACACCGTTCTAGATTAGAATCTAGATTAGATTGCATTTTCCTCGTGAAATTGTTATCTATGTGTGTGTGTGTGTGTGTGTGTGTGTGTGTGTGGTGTGTGTGTGTGTGTGTGTGTGTG